GGGGAGGGGGTTTGATGTAGGCTGGACTTGCTCAAGTTCCATAGGTACTTTTTTTATTATTTTTTATTTTATTTTTGTGTGTGTGTATGTTTTTAGCTTTCCTCCCTCACTAAAGAGCAAGTCTGTATGGACGGACTTGTTACCTTTGCTACCTCTTGAATTCATGAGAACAATAAGATGGTTAGTGAAAGATTAGGCATTTTTTTCTTTTATTGTAAGTAATTAAATGTATAAAAGTAGAAGCTAAATTAAAGTTAAGGGATTTTTACCACCCCGTCCTTCCATCAAAAGTCAACTAGAGAAATGTTAAAGCAAAGCTTGGCCAAAGACAAAGCAAAAAATACATTGAGCCAGAGGCTGTACTGGCTGCTTGAACTGGCTCATTCGCAGTCTCTTGGCTGTCTGTAGTCACTTTTAGGTAAAAGAAGATAACTTCTCTGAGCTTTTTGGGCCCTTTCCAGCTTTGTTTATTGAATCTGGATACTATGGGGAGGGGAAAATGTCCCCCTCATCTTCCACTCCCCCAGCACATCTGGGTCAGTCTGTAAACACCTGGCAGGACAGAGGGTGAGGGCATAGCAGCCTATAATTTACTAGAATCCAGAGTGCAATAAGGTGGGGGAGAGGAGGAAAAAGCAAACCAAAGTGTTTCATATCCTCCCTTTTAGACAATTTAACACACGCACACAAAAAAAAAAAGAAAAAATGAGAAGAAAAAGAAACAAAATGTTCTCACAACATCTGCATAAGACATCACGGCCAACAGCTGCTATTGGTTTAGGAGAGAAGACAGAGAACTTTGCCCACCGATTCTTGGCCCTCTTGACTTTGTTGGCGTGACCTTGTGGAAAACTATGGCTTATTTCAAGCCTCCCGTGACTGTGGTGGTAAAAATTCACAGCCAGTAGAATCATCCCTTCTGAAACGACTAAGGTTTACACTTGAGTTTTTTCATTTGTTGTTTTTTGTTTTTTTCCACTCAAACCAGTATAGTCTCTATGCGTCAGGTTTACCAAACCTCACGTTTTGTCTTTTTTTTAAAAAAACAAAACAAACAATTTTTTTAAACTTTCGACCAAAAAAAGAAAAAAAAAAGAAAAAAGTGAGCATGTTTGACTAAAACAAAGAAATATAAGCTTCATTTTCTATTGGTTTTTTTTTTTTTTTTTTGTTTTTTTTTTTTTTTGTTAAGGTAGACTAGTCCATGAGAAGTTTTGGGGTCAATTGAATTAATTGAGGAAACTGAAATCCAGGCTCCAAGCAATAGACAACCCAAAGGCGCTGAGCCTCGGCCTGGTGTCACGTTACAGGGAACACGTTCACTCCTCTCGACACCTGCTCTAGTGTGCTTCTCCCAGTGCCATTGTCCACCTGCTCCTGGACCCTGCGAGCTATGGAGTGCGAGAAGGGAGCATGGACTTTTGTTTTTTCCTAATTGTGCTAGATGCACTGTTTGCTTTTGGGGAGTTAGGTGGGGGTTTAGTGTCTTTAGCACTTCCACATTTTGGATATCTATTGAATTCTTTCCTCCTTGATTCCTTGCCAACCCCCCCGAGAACATCTCCAAAATAGTCTTTGGGGAGGACAGGATAGGCCTTGCCATCTACCTTTTTCTCAGAGCAAGTCTCAGCAGAGCCCAGGGACAGCTGTGCAAGATGAGTTCCTTGGCACTTTCACCCTGCCTTTACCTCCCCCTGCAGCCACCCCAAGGCTGAGCTGAGTCCCACACCAGCTCCCCTTGCTGCTGCCTGGCCAAGCACCCAGCAAGTCCAGAGTTTCAAAACAGTGTTTAGGTCCCTGAGGGAGAAGGGCAGAGCCAAAGATGAGCCCTGTCCCCTGCTGTGGGTTTTGGATGCAGGTTTCCCTCATTCCCTTGTGGCCCCGCAATTTGTGGAGATGGGTCTGGCCCCATGGTGGTACACAGCCAGTGCTGGCATGGCAGGCAGGTGTCTGCACACACCACCTTGGGGACAGCAGCTCATGCTGTGACCCACTGAGCTGAGCCAGGGAGCAGCCCGAGACAGCAGGCAAATATCCTGCTCCCCCTCACTTAACTCCATTTTTACAAGCATGTGTGTGGGTGATGTAGCTTCTCCCCCCACCCATCCCGCTCTCCATTTGTTTCTTACGCCTTGAGAATCATATTGAAGTTTCAGGACCCAATCTATTTTTTTTAAACTTTTTTTTTTTGGAGCGTCTGTTTTTTCCTAACTTGATCCCCTCCCCAGCACTTAAACAATACGACATAAAGTCTGTGTACAGCAAGAGTATTGTACAAAAGGAAATTCTGTTCTTTTTTCAAATAGCTGTGTAAAGTTGTGTTCCATAGATTGAGTATAAACAACATTTTCCAAATTGTGACAGTAATAATGAATAACTAATAATACTCAAAACTTCAGGGACTGTTTCAGGCCTGCTTGGGGCCTAAACACTCAACTGCATTTGTACGACATAGTATTGTATCAAACATTTTTCTGTATTTTAATGAGAAAGCAAAACACTAGTTTCATATTTAAGATTTTAAGAGTTTTAGGGTGGGGGGAGGGAGTTGCATTTTTGGTTTTGGAGTTGAGTTGCATTTTTGGTTTTTTTGGTTTTTTTTAAATTTTTTTTTTAATACACAAAGAGCCTCAAGAGGAATAAAACAATTTAAAAGCAAACAAAAAAAGAAAAAAAAAAGAAAAAAAAAAAGAGGCCAGGCAGCTTAAGTATATGCTTTAGTCACTTAGTTCCAGAATGTTTTCGGAATAACAGGAAAGTAAAAGATAAAATAGCAAAAGTTGTATAATTTTGGTTTTTTTTAAATTTTTTTTTTAATACACAAAGAGCCTCAAGAGGAATAAAACAATTTAAAAGCAAACAAAAAAAGAAAAAAAAAAGAAAAAAAAAAAGAGGCCAGGCAGCTTAAGTATATGCTTTAGTCACTTAGTTCCAGAATGTTTTCGGAATAACAGGAAAGTAAAAGATAAAATAGCAAAAGTTGTATAAAAGAATAAAGAAGCTCATACCCAAATTCACAAAACTATTTTTTAAACCAAAGCACATTTGAATGAGTATGGAACCTCACTTGGCTCAGAAAAGTACTAATATATTTATCTCATTGTTTACATAAACTTTTACAGTTTCAGACCTCAACAGATCTAGGGGCCAGTCAAAATTAATCTTTGCTTTTTCCATTGGTTTGTCTCTGAAGGCTACGCAGTGTTCCCCAGCTTGGGAGGGGAGATCTGTGTCCCAGCCTGCATTCCAGCACTGCTCGGGGAGGGTGGGGAGAGGGTGGGCAATTATAAATATGGCATGTAGATTATTTTTTTCTTTCAACCCATAAGAGATGTTGCTGGGAGTGAGACCCAGGCACTATCATAGAGGCATTATTCCAGCCTACCTCTTCCTCAGAGGACTCTGAGGGTACCAAGAGGGTAAACAGAGATGCAAGGAGCTCTAGAAATAGAAAAGAATATGTTATTAGAAGATGGTGGGAGCTGCTGTACCCAGCACATCTCCTTACCTTTAGCCACGGGGAGCTGGGCTGGTTTCCAGTCCTTTACTGCAAAACTTCCAAAAACAAATTCCTGGCAAAAAAACCCAAAGGCCAAGCTCTGTGCATTTGGGGGAGTTAGCAGGAGCCACAAAGATCACAGAAGACACCAAAGAGCTATTGACACGCAGCTTCTGTGAGGCTTTGCGGCTGCTGATGTGGAAGAGTACGCACAACTCTGAGCCGCCCATCTCCCTGCCGTGACTTGGGTAGCTTTAATGGTCAGGTGTGAGGGCGAGAGCACCGAGCTGCCTCCTCCTGCTCAGAGCTGTGCTAGGGCCTGAGCTGTGCTGTTTGCACCCTCTGAGCCACCTTTTAATTAAACAGCTGGATAGATTCACTCCAGACCTTACAGTCACACGCAAAGAGCCCAACCAAAACTCCTGAGGCTGCCTAGGTGGAAACCTAAGCCTGATCTGCATGGTAGAACAGTTTTAAGATGACCAATGAAGAAGGTTTGCTAAAATACCGCTGAAGCCAAAAAAAAAAAAAAAAGTTTAAGAAAGCTCCCCATCATTAG